TCATTCTCGGTGGAGCATATTTCTGGTCAGGAAAATGGTGCAGCAGATGCACTTTCTCGTCATGCTTGTGTCCGGTTCCCTGTACCTGATGACAAATGTTTCAGGATTTTTTCGGTGTTTGACTTGCCTGAATCATTTCAAGAACTACTGGGTGAAATAGTTCATCATCAAAATCAAGATGATAAATTTTCTAGCATAAAGAGCAAGTTGGAAACTGATGAAAAATTGCAACTTCAGTTTGCTGTCCATCAGGGTGTATTGTACAGGCGGGCCTCAGAAGAAAATACCTTCCTTCTTTGTGTCCCAAAATCCTTAGTAAATGATTTTATTAAGGCATATCATAATCTCTTAGGCCATTATGGTTGTTGGAAGACTTGGGTAGCTATGAGACGGGAGCTATGGTGGACCAACATGTATCGAGAAATCAAAAAATATATACGTACTTGTGTCATTTGTCAAAAGGCTAAGATAGCAGCACTACCAAAGCCCCGTCAACTGCAGATAGTCCCAGCTGATAAGGCAGACATAGTAGCCATGGACATCTATGGTCCACTGATTCGTAGTCGTGGAGGAGCTAGTTATATCTTGGTAGTGTATAATTTAATGACAAAGTTTGTTGTCTTATATCCACTGAAAAAAGCAACATCTAGGGCAATGCTAAATCGCATGTTCAAGCAGTATTTCCCTACCTATGGTTTGGTCAAACGTATTTTGCAGGATCGTGGGACTCAGTTCACCTCCAAGCTGTGGCAAAACACCATGCAGGAGGCTGGTATTAAGTTGGTATACACTTCGGTACGCCACCCAAATGCAAATCCCTCCGAGCGCATTATGAGGGAGCTTGGTAGGCTTTTCCGTACCTACTGTAGTGAACAACACTCTCGTTGGGCTTATGAAGTCAGTAATTTTCAAGAATTCCTAAACAGCGTTGTGCACGAGTCCACAGGTTTTTCACCAAACGAGCTCCAGCTGGGTGTACCACCTTTGAGGCTTCTTCCACCTGCAGTTGGAAATCCCTTGAATGGTAACGTTGACTCACCTCCCGAACATAAACTCATATTAGCTGAAGCAACGCTGCAAGGCAAGGCAGCACGTCGGGCATTAAGAAGCCCTGGAAAGCCTTATCACCGTTTTTCACCTGGTGAGTTGGTGTTGTTAAAGGCCAATAATCAGTCCTCTGCACTCAAAGCCGAAACTAAGAAGTTCCTTCTTTTGTTCGAAGGACCTTACAAAATTAAAAAGCAGATCAGTGACGCCACTTACCTTTTAATTGATCCTGGTAATAATAAAGAAAGAGGCATGTTTCATGCCAGTCACCTGAAATTGTACCATCTACCATCTTCAGTTCAATGACCCTTGGCACTTTTCATTTTCACAGAAGATTTGGGGGCAAGTTGTAACGGGACAATCAGGTTCCATGTCCTTCCGTTTCTTATTGCAGCCATTATATTCGCTATTTTTGATAGATAATAAATATAAATTCCTTTAGCTGTGTACATTTTGTTGTTGGGTAGGTACTCTGTCTACTAAATAATTGTTTAAATTTGTAATCCTAATTTATTTGAGCATCATTGCGCCATCTACCAACGAGCCAATAAACTGCAAGATCATCCATGTTGGGGAGATGGTAGAAATCTATCAGTTGTTGTTGTTGGTGTTATACCCTACGGACAGGGGGCTCTACAGGTATGATTTTTCGATGAATTGTTTTTTGCGCCATTCCACCACACATTTGATTGTGATAAAAACTAGTGTGGGAGATAAAGTTCTTGAACGAGGCCTTTTTGATAGCAAAAGCTGAAGGCAGTCACACCTCTCTTCAAACTGACTCTCTAATAAAACTTTATGGTAGAACCTAAGGGTCTATAACAATTGCGAAAACGCTTCGTTTTTGTGACCTGGTCAACTTTACAGGTAGGCGAAATTATGTATTTCTATAAATTTTTCCTCAATTTGAAACTTTTCTCCACGTGGTCATGAGCTTTGATTTTTGGTTAAGAATTATAATGATTTTCTCAGACTAGCTATTAACAATGTTATCGACGTACTCAGAATCAGTTATTTCTCCAGTAGTTGCAAATGAAAGCATCAAATATGTCCTTAAAAGCATTTATTTTCACAAGTAATTCCAATTCATATAGTGTCTTCTTATTTCAACAATATTTGTATAAACTATATATATATCATGGTCAACTTTACAGTTTTAGTGAGACAGAGGATCGCCCTGTATAGATGGCAATTTAATAACATCCAATAAAAATACTGAGTGGCTTGCGTAACCCTGTGTTATTTCTACGGCCTATGGTTACCAACACGGCCAGAACCCCCATAAAAAACCCCTGAGAAAATTGTATCATAGCAAGCTCTATTTCAATCAATATCTGCTTTTGTTTTCCAACAATGGGCGAGTGGACTGATAATGAATTATTGGCATTCAATTACTCCACTGTGTTGTTAGGACCCAAAATTAATTTTTGCAATACTTCTCATCCTTTTTTTTTGTAAATAATAATAAGTCAATACGTTGATCAAAATCGTTGAATTTCTGAGCTCATTTCCAACGTAACTTCATTGCCGCCATTTGGCGATACTGTCGTGAATCGTGGTGGTTCACGACTGATTATAGGTAGGGTAAAAATCCAACACCTGTTAGATTAGATTCAGAGTGGGGCCTTCGGGCTATCTGCCTCCACACCACGACCCTTTCAGATCTATTGTGTCTGCCCTCAAAATCGGTCAGAGTTCTCTGGCTAACCCCGCCTTCTCTAAGAGACTCCATAGGCTAGCTTTCAGATCCCCTGTGTAACTTTGGGCCCTTGGTTTTTCCTCACCCAGCGTAAGGAACCTTAGTCTTGATAAGCCCTCACAGTGGCAAAGTTTGTGTTCTGCTGTTTCCTCCTCTTCCTTACACAACCTGCACAGCAGTTCTTCAGTCAGACTTATCGTACTCATGTGTTTGTTGAGCCTACAATGCCCTGTGAGATGTCTTACTAGTATCCTTGATTATGGCTCAGTAGATATTCTGTAAATGTTGGCGATGGTTTTTCAATTAATTCTTTTGCCTGTCTCATTCCTGGCGAGTTGTTCCACCATTCTTGAGATTGGGTTTGCATCCATGATTTGATACTTGTATAGCTTTTGCAATACCACAAAAGGGTTTTGAGCCATTCAGAGCTTATTTTAGGGATCGGTTCAGGACGGACCCTGAACGGACCTGAACCAATCTTGAGAATACTAAACATTCTGGCGATGTCCTCTAGAGGGACAGCTGCAGTAGCAATTAATCAAAATATTGCAGGACACACCAGAAATGAGACAATCGAAGCTCCACATGAAGGCACTTTCGAAGAGGCTCACAAAAGAGGTATTATCCCTCAACAGCCGAGACCTTCAAATGGTAGTGGGGCTCCTAACAGGGTACAACCACTTCAATAGGCACCTAGAGCTTATTGGGATCATAGATGATCCCCTCTGCAGATGGTGCCTGGAAGATGACGTAACGTCATCGCATGTCCTCACTGAGTACCCAGCACCGACACATCAGAGGAGGGCTGTCCTTGGCAACATGATTCTGAGGCCAGAGGACGTGAAAGAGATTCAGCTGAGGAAGCTGCTGATCTTCTTCAAGGAAGTCGGTATACCCAGCTAAATGTTGGAACATGTGGGCGCATAATGGACCCGAATAAGGAGGCCTAAGCGCAAGGGTGTTCACCCACCACCAGTGCTTCGAAGAAGAAGAACTATTTGCCTTCTTCATGAACAAGATCAGGGTTTGGAAGAGTAGGAACCTGAACGAAAATGGTCTCTGAAACGAACCTCTGGTACTCTCGAATGATGATCCAATAACTTGGTAGATTTCAATGCGAACAAAGCACAAGCATGTCTTTTCTCTAGAAAAGCCGATCTCACTGTGGCCAACATAAGCTTGTCAGGAGTAACCATACCTTTGAAGTCATCCATTTCGATGCTTGGTATTACTATCAGCAATAACCTTTCTTGGGAAAATCACGTGAGATCAATTGCTAGAAATGCATCCCAAAAACTTGGTTTTCTGTTTCGGGCCAGGAGCTATTTCACTTCCAGTCAGCTGCTTATGATCTATAAGGCACAGATCCGACCTGTCCTGGAATACTGTTCACATATTCGGAGTGCAGCACCCAAACATACCCTGAAACTGTTGGATTCTGTCCAAAAAAGGGCAATTCGTCTCGTGGGCGATGCCTCGCTCACACACTCACTCACTTCTCTGGAACACCGAAGAAAAGCTGTCGATCTGGCTTTATTTTATAGATATTTTCATGGACGATGCTCTTCTGAAATATCAACAATTGTTCCTCCCTTGGCAGTCCCCGCGAGATTAACCCGTCCAGTTGAGGCTTCACACCCCTTCGTGGTCACTTTGGAGACCTGCAATACATCTCTTTCCAAAGACTCGTTCATCCAACGAACAGCGAGACTCTTTAACACATTGACAAGGGAGGTGTTCCCCGAGGCATATAACCTCCAGAAATTCAAGAAGAACACCAATTCCTACCTCATTTCCCTTGGTTTTCACGATGTTCTCTGAACATTACAGGATATCCCTTTTCGTAGGAACCAGAACCAGAACATAAAAAAACTGTGAGCAGCAGTGCTTACAGTTACTGTGATGGTATTTGAAGTGGCCCTCACATTAGAACCATGGGTCGTATAATGGCAAAATCAATATATAACGGCATAGGTATTCAAGGTAAGATACAATAGACCAATATGTTTAAGTGTCATCGAAGACTTTGGAAGGGGGTGGAGTTGTAAAGAAGGGAGCTTCATGGTGTCCATGAAGGCTTACAAGCAATTCAAAAATAAAAGAAGAAAGAACAGAGATACAGTGTGCATACTAATGAAGTCGATGTATCGCCCTTGTGTTTTCTGGGTATGTAACTGACACTTTGGTCCGGTAAAAACCCCAATACCAATACCAGCACCAGCATCCTTCGATGCTCATCTCTTCTCGTGACTCTCAGACATCCTCCGACGCATATAAAAGCGGCAGTAGGCCGTGGAGATCCTCTTACTCCGTGGCGACCGTCATTTGTCGGGAGAGGCCAGAAAAGCGAAAGTTGCCCCACGTCCAAGAAGTTGAGAGCACCGTCGACGAAGACAAATATTCTTCGACGAGCGAGACAAGTCGAGGAACTTTCAGGTGGGCCTTCAGTCACAGTTGGCCAGGTGCGGATCCGAGACTCGACAGTGAAGTGGACGCGGGCAGTGGTGTTTTTTTTGTGTGATCGTATTTTGGTGTCGCAGGACCGGACTCGAACTTTTTCTGTATTTTACGAAGGGGTAGAGGCGCAGCAGTCGAGATGAGGGCAGCAGGAATTTTGATGTGAGTGAATTCAATTTTTCGGATACTGTCAACATTTGGTGAACAATCATTCCCGATAGACCATTTTATGCAGAATAGGATGACGTTAATTTCTCTCTGTAATATACTTGTATGCTTTTTTTTTCAATGCGACTGTACAGGGTGGGCAAAATTGGGCGTTTTCATAGGCTATCTCAGTAACTGAAGGAGATATCAAAAAATCGATATACATGTTACGGGTTCGATTTTAGAGAAACCTCGAATGATACAATTGGAATTTTGATATCTTCATTCGTTTCGGAGATACAGGGGGGAATTGAAAAATTGCCGATTTCGTTTTTATTTCCTGAGTACTTTATGAAGAGAGATATTGAAAAATTTCGAATTCTCATCTATATAGAATGATGCGTAGAATCCATTGGCATCATCAGAAATTTTATACAGGGTGACATCAAGAAGATACGGCACCGACATCTCTGGAAAATGCTATAAAGAGGCAGAATATAGGTTGAAAATGATACTCTGTATATATTAACCAAAGTAGGAAAATGAATATTGAAAATGTGATTCAAATATTTCATTTCTAGACAATGAATATTTGGTATGAAATGAAATTTGAAATTATTTGATTTGATATCATTGTTTATCAATACATTCATACTATTCAAAATACAGAAATAAGACAAATAATTTATTAATTGGGACATGAAAAAATGAAGCTTTATTAAAGATGTTCAAATTGTCCGTTTTGGCCTAAGCAAACTCCTCACAGAATTCACTGCGCTGGTTAGATGAATGGGTCTCACTTCTTGGAATGCTGAAATGTCGTCTTCCACGCAATTCTTCAGCATTTTGATGATCTCGACGACAGATATGATTTTTTAGAAATCCCCACAAGAAAAAATCCAATGGAGACAAGTCGGGTGAATGAGGGGGCCATTGAATCGGTCCATAATATGTACCAATCCATGTTCAAGAACATTTTATATTCAGAATATCTTTTACTCTACGGGCATTAGGAATGGACATCCATCCTGTTTGAAATAAATATGCGGTAATCTATCCTAATATAGTTTTCCACTCTCAAATTTTCCTCAAATATAACGTAGGCCAACCTGTATCCTTTGATGGAACAACTCATGTTGAAGCCAAACCTTCCCTGTTGCCTACTATCATGATGACTTCGAGGATTATGATCATCCCCGTGGTGTTCATTATGCCTATTGAACAATCCAGCACTAGTGACATAAAATATTTGAATCATCAATGATATTTATTCTTCTACTTTGGTTAATATATACAGAGTATCATTTTCAACCCATATTCTATACCTCTTTATAGCATTTTCCAGAGATGTCGGTGATACTATAGCTGCTGGCGAGCAGTGTTATCACTGGAGATGATCCCACTTGATCCTCGATTGTATCATTGGCATCTCTCTTACAGCTGCAAATGTCGGAATCCTACCTCAATGATTATTACGGAAGATACAGAGGTGCAACCATGAGAAATGTGACACATTAATTATATATTTTTGCGAATATTTCTGAAGTTGTCGAAGAAAAAAGTGGATTGATGTATATATTTGAATATGGAATGCCAAGGACTATCCAACTGTGCTGAAATATACGGGGTGTTCCATTAGAAAAAAAATAATTGACTCACGTATCTTCTTGATGTCCCCCTGTATGAAATTTCTGATGATGCCAATGAATTCTACGCATCATTCTTTATGGATTAAAATTTTAAATTTTTCAATATCTCTCTTCATAAAGCACTCAGGAAATAAAAACGAAATCGGCAATTTTTCAATTTCCCCCTGTATCTCTGAAACGAATGAAGATATCAAAATTCCAATTGTACCATTCGAGGTTTCTCTAAAATCGAACCCGTAACATATATATCGATTTTTTGATAACTCCTTCAGTTACAGAGATAGCCTATGAAATCGCCCAATTTTGCCCACCCTGTACGTACTTTCTGGCTGTGAAACTGATCATATTGATGGTTATTCATACCACACCAAATTTGGTTGGAATCGCATGACTAATAACTGAGATATAGAGCCTCCCAATATCGTTTGAATTGAGACACGCTGTATATCTTGGGAGTAAAGGTTCATTTCCTCCCATGTGTGCTTAATGCCCGACGCGGGAGGAAATGGATACCGTTGCTCCCTTGATATATAAATTGCTATTATCCATGCACTGAATCGAAAGTAGATGTTCACTTCTTCATTTTAGGAAACAAAATTGAATTTCAATGATCTCATTCACTTCCTTATGTTCCAAATGTACTTAATCAAAACTTTTGTAGTGCATATATGGAACGGTATTTGTCGAATCTAAGATGTCAAATCTAATTGTAACTTTGACAGGTTACGTCAAATTGTTTGGAAGTGTTGAACAATTCATTTCATTTGAATTTCAGCATACCGGCTTCCTAGATGTTGTTCGAATTCCATAATAAGCTGTATGTCCCACTATTTTAAGCCTCGCACACATATAACTCTAATAACAGCTTTTTTTCATCTCATTCATTTCAATATGTTTGTCAACTTTCCTTCCTCAACATTCTTTGAGAAGCAAAAAATTGTGATCCCATTTTACGTCGGGTATGTTATTAGTGATCCTTATGGTGAAAAAAAAACGAATAACTTTCTGTGAATTGAATAATTATTATAATTTATTCAATTCGATATTTGAAATATTTGTGAATAATATTAATTGGTGATATAATAAAATCGGGTTATTTCTCATTCCAATGTATCTATTATCTAATGTGTTTTTCGAAAGTCCTAAGACAAATATACTTTTCGAAATTAACATAATTCAGCTTCACATTTACTCAATTTCTGGAATAGCCTACACAGCAGAGTGGAAAAGTTGACATTATATTGAAACATGAAACAAAATTATTCAAACTGGTAAATGAGTTGACAAAACGACCTATACATTCGCAACGACATGTAAACGTTTCGTTCAGAACGTCCTGAATATGTCTCATTCAGGACGTCTTTGAAAACTAGCGATAATGAAGTTTCGAAAATATTCAATTGAGGACGACCTGGAATTGTTTCGGTCAGGACATCTAATAAACGTTCTGATTAGGATGTCCTAGAAAAGTTCCGATCATAACGATTTTAGGACGTTCTAATCCGAACGTTCGTCTTGAGATCATATTTGCACGAGAATTATTCCTCTTGATGTCTAGTGCTTTGTGACGTAGATGAATCTACGTTGCCCTTTGGTTCATGCTGTGCTGTACTTGGAATTTTATAGGTGTCAGTTCAATGATGGAATACTCTTCAGTTCGAGTAAGTACACAGACGAATTAATTTGTTTGTTCCTATTGGGGTTTCTTCTGTAGTTCAATTGGATAAAGCGCATCCTGAAACCGTTTCGCTTAGGACATCTAGTAATCGTTTTGATTAGGACAACCTAGGAATGTTCCAATGATGACATTCCGAAAACTTTCGGATCAGAAAGTCCTTAGAATGTAGAGGTCATCTTTGCACGATAATTCTCTTTCAATTGCTGTTGATTTGTAACGTTGATAAATCTACGTTGAACTTTGGCTCATGCAATACTTGCACTTTTATGGGTATCAGTTCAATGATGGCAGACTCTTCAGTTCGAGTAGGTTGTTTCTATTGGGGTTTCTTCTGTAGTTCAATTGGAGGAAGCGCATCCTAAAATCGTTTCGGTTAGGACATCTAGTAAACGTTTTGATTAGGACGGCCTAGAAACGTCCCGATGATGAAATTCTAATAACTTTCGGATCATATCGTCCTTAGAATGTGGATATTATCTTTGGACGGTAATTCTCTCTCAATTGCTGTTGGTTACTAATGTTAATGAATCTACGTTGCACTATATGTATCATGCAGTACTTTCAATTTTATGAGTATCAGTTTGATGATGGCAGACTCTTCAGTTCCAGTAGGTTGTTCCTATTGGGGTTTCTTTTGTAGTTCGATTGGAGGAAGCGCATCCTGAAACCGTTTTGGTTAGGACATCTAGTAAACTTTTTGATTAGGACGCCCTAGATACGTCCCCATGATGGCGTTCTAAAAACATTCGTATCCGAACGTCCTTAAAATGTTGAGATTATCATTGCATGAAAATCATCTTTCAACTCCTGGTGATTTGAGACGTTGATGAATCTACATTACACTTTGGATCATGCTGTATATTGGCTTTTATGGGTGTCAGTTTAATGATGGAATACTCTTCAGTTCGAGTAGGTATGCAGACAAATTAACTTTTTGTTCTTGGGGTTTCTCCTGTAGTTTTATTGGCAAAAGCGCATCCTGAGGCCACCTAAGGCCACATCGAAGTTGGCCTTGACTAGAGACGCATCCCAATGAAAATGAAATGTCCTGCTGTGTGAAACTGTCGACTTGACTTGACTACCACATTTCACGAGCGAGATGCCATTTCAAATCGACTTCGAGGTCGTTTAGATATATGAAATACCAACAACTATCGCATTATCTTTCAAATGTCAAAGGTATCGCGGCAAAAATCAGAAGCTACGACTCGCTTTCACGAGATAGAAATGATTGCTCGCCAGGTTTTCGTTGGTGGAGTTTCTAATTCGAACATTTGCGTCGAAATCGGCCAACTGCTCGTCGTAAAAAATCAATTAGAACGAACAAAAATTAGCCATTATTTATTTGAACATCTGCAATATGACCATAGGAAATCTTGTTTCTGAAAAAAATATATATTTGAAGTATGCAGCATGAACAATTTGAAAATATATGCTTGAATGTACAAAGAGACGCATCAGATGGTCTATGAATAGAGTTAGAATCATTATTTCATGGCCTCCTGTGACCAATATTTCTACACAAAAGTTATGTCGGAAATTTTTGGCATTTTCTATTTGAGAGTGGGAAAAATTCAAACTAGATGAATGAGAACTAATGTCGGCTAAGGGTAAATTTCTATAACATATATACTCAATGGTGAAAACAGTAATTTTGAAATCTATCATCGTTTCAAAGTTACAAGATG